CTTGAGTCTTTTCTATTAAGTGGTTCGTATTTGCAAGTGGACGCTAGTTGAGAATGATTGCTGGAAGCCAGGCATTCGATCGGCAGATGTTTAAACTTCTTCTGTACTTGGTAGAGACTACGCAGAATGTTAGTAGGAGGGAGATGGAACGGCAGTGTAAGTTATAGGTCGCACTTTCATGAAAGAGTCTAACGATAGCGTATGTGAACTCTCCGGGTATATTTGTCTCCAAACATTCGACTGATGATGTTTGCGAGTTAAGATGAGATAACATATGCCCATATTTTGCAGTTTTAGTACAATTCCATTAATACCAGGGGCGATGTTTCCGGAATTTTGAAGCAGCTGTGGTAATTCTCGAACAGTAAGTTTATGGCTGATGGGTTGGGCGAATCTGCATTGAAGAGTAACAGTATCGCTTTCGCAGAGATAGGTGGGGCACATGCCAGTGAGGTGACTCATTGTATTGCTGGTTACCTTCATCTGGGCGGCTTGACTTACTGATAGCGTCCTGTTGACAGAATGCTTGAGAAGTCCACGTTAATTTGATTACTAGGTGTAGCACATCCTGAAAGCGGTAGTGCCGACAAAGATCAACTTTCATTGATCACCTGGCAGCCCTACACAGTTGAATATTCGACTTAAGCAGTGGGATAATTTTCTAGTTCGTATGAGCTCGATCGAATACTCGTTAAACAGCCTCCATTAAAGTTCCGCAAAAACGGCAGAAAAAGGGCAATGCAGTTGTCGCCAGGAATTTCAAGGTTTTTGAAGAATGAGGCTGGGGATGACAGGGTGGTGGTAAGAGGATCGTGAGCATTGCAGCTTTCATTCTGAGGTTACAATAACCAGACGGGGAAGAGGAGAAGGTAAGTAGTGGTAAAAGGGCAGTTGGTAGGAATGACGCGAACGTACACTCAGTCCGGATGAGACGGTGGTCAGGTCGGCAGACCTGATGAGGCACAAGTGAGATTGTACAGCACAAACCGTACTTTCACCCAGCTGATAAAATAAATAGAGAATTAGCGCCAAAAATTTAGAAAGAAAAATTACAATTGGAAGACTACCGTAGCCGTTGCCCGTTGCTCTGGGTGGATGTCGGAATATAAGCTGCTACGAAAACTTCATCGCTTTTTGAAGCATCTACCTACATGTCTAATTAAATGATGTTGTTTGCTTATTGAAGTTTGAACTTTTATTCTGAAGTGCAGCTGGCTTAAAAAAATATTGTCGTTTAAAGCTCTTATAGTTCTTTCGATCTGCACATAGTACTTCAATGAAGAAGACGATGGAAAAACGCAATTATTTTTGTTTTTGAATTCCTTTTGTGCAATATGAACATCGAAATGTTGATAAGAAGTTGTTGAAGGTAGTAACTCTTACCACAGGTGGGATGTTTTGAGTCGACGACGGTAACAGAGGTGCGACGGAACGTGTTTTGAAGTCAATGCGAACTATATAAACATTCGTAAACACAATGCACTCATTCCCATTCTTCAGTAAAAGTTGCAATCCTTCTATTTCCCCTCTCCAACAATTCTTCTACCGTCTCATGGAGGAGGAAAAACGGATTGAGCAGCTGCGAGATGCGCGACGACGGGCGAGTGCGATTCGGTCAGTTGCTGTCGCAACTCTTGCAGTTACAACATGCATGATATCGTTGCCAATCGTGTTCACTCGGCTGCAAGAGGTTGACAGCAATATTCGAAGCGAGCTAGAGGAGTGTATGGTACGTCTAGCTATTTTCAGTGTTTGCTAGATATTCTAAAAATCTAAGGGAACTTCGTTAGAATGCTTTTCCTGTTCCTTTTTGGAATTTCTGAGAGTTTGACATTTTCTTAGCGATATACGTTTAAACGATAAGAACATGATCGCGTTCTTGCTGTCGTTTGCCATAAATAAGGAAAGGAAGCAGAAATGTATAAAGTAGGATTATTCGATATGCAAATAACCAATTATTCTCGCTCTCACACTTCCACTAACCCGTCTTTACGTAGGGGAAAACTGGAAAATGTTGTGTGCGCATATTTTATTTAAAGTAGCTCGTATTAATATATCATGTATTTTAGTTGACTTCTCGCAACCTCTTACGTCAAGTGATCTCTGTCACGCCAAACTCGCACCCAACTCCGGCTGCAAGCTCTGTTCTGCGAGAGAAGAGACAGGCAACTGGTTAGTCACTAAACCTTGAAAAACCCCAAATATATCCTTTCAAATGGTATAGGCTGCTGTACCTGCAATCGTGGACCGCCCGGTCCACCTGGTCCTCCTGGAGTTGACGGTGCTGATGGCGTTGACGGCATTACAGGAGAAATCGGTGCCCCAGGCCCAATGGCAGCCGAACCACCAAAGTCAGTAAATGCAATAGATAAGTGATTCTTTCCAACGCACTGATCACTCTTCAGTTATCGTCAATCACAAGTGAAACAATGTCCTTGTGAAGCACCTGGAGGACCTGCTGGACCACCTGGACCCCGAGGAGCACCTGGACTGCCCGGAGAAGCTGGTAGGGCTTTTATTTTCAATATAGATGATCTGATCAAGTAATTGGTCTGATGCAGGCAGACCTGGAGCAGCCGGAGGCGGAGGAGCACCAGGAGAGCCAGGTCAACCAGGCCGACCAGGGGCACCAGGAGAGAATGGTCAAGCCGGAGCTCGAGGAAATGATGGAGTTATCCGTCCCGGAGGCGGCGGACCACCTGGACCAGCTGGACCACCAGGAGATAGAGGACTGGATGGAGAGCGAGGAATACCCGGCGAACCGGGACAACCTGGTGCATCTGGAAACTTCTTCTATAAAGACCCAGAGAAAAATAATTGTACTTAAAAAGTTGTTCAGGTCCACAAGGAGCACCTGGAGAACCAGGATCACCTGGGCGACCTGGACCACCAGGAAATGCTGGAAAAGATGGTGCAAGTGGAGACACTGGAGGGCAAGGTGTTCGTGGTTCGTGCGATCACTGCCCACCTGCAAGGACTGCTCCTGGATACTTCGATTAATGTAGGAATTGGCATAAATGCATCAGACATCAATTTGTTTTCCATCTCACATTATGTTCT